AAAAAGAAATTAATGTAGTTTAGAAAAAAGAAGATTGACAAGGAAAGTTGCATGCCATAAGGGCGAGAAATCGCACTCACCTAGCGTGCATTCGCGTTGTTTGAGATAATCCAACGCTGTGCTGCCGGTAATTTTATAAGCACAACCCCAGGTGATGCCCTGCAATAAAGAAAAAAACAAAAGAGAAATTTAAATAAATTTATTACCAATTGCATTTAAAGATATTTTTGATATTTGTACTAGCTGAGCTTTATTTTTATAGAAATTGAACATGCTTTATTTAATGCCGAAGAAAAGACTGTTTGTATGTACATATGTATGTATGTATGTATGTATGTACATCCATTTATTTTTTAACGTGCTACAGCCATCTGAGCATGTTCTACACTACATCATCTCAATGCGCCTATAAGCAAACTATAGTGTATACACATTGCGCGTGTTTTTCATTCACAATTAATTCGTCTAATAATTCGTAGATGCTTTTTCATAAAGTGGTTTGTTAAATACATTTAAGTGTGCAACGTTGGTTGGAGTCGGCGCTAGCCGTTCGAGTCTTCCATGCTTGTTTCTCGGGGTCACACACGAGTTCATGGTAACTCTTTAATTAACCCTGGGGAAAGTCCCCGGGCCTAGGGTAGAAAGTACCAAGGCGTAAAAAGGCTCAAATGAATTTTGTGCTTCGCCTATATTCCGAGGAAATCCGCCAGACGCCATAAACAAAGAGAGTGATCGAGTTTTCGTGCGTTCGGTGTCCACGGAAACGTGCCAGAGTTTGATATTAGACATTTACAAGTTTGAGTTCTCTCACATTTGTTGTGTTTGGGCTCTTGGACGGAATGGGGCTTACATTGGGAAATTTGGACGCGTGCCAGCAAAAGATCTCCTTTTTTTAGTTTTTGCTGCTGTTTTTTTTGCTAGCACGTGGCCGTGAAATTTGTGTGTACAAACATACATAAGATACATACATATCAGAGCTGTAAAACTGTGAAATCATATGAAATTAAAAATCATCAATTTTATGTTATTATGTTTTCATTGAATTTTTCCTTGTTGGGGAATGTGGCTTATAATTTTCCAATTCTACATTCACTCAAAGTAGATACGATTGCACACATTAACATATTCAAAGAAAGATTGAAAAAACTGAATGACGAAACATTAACTTTTAACACTGAATAAGCATTCAGATGAATGCAGCTTTTGCTATGTGTGCACACATTCATTCAGTACCAATCAATCGATATAAATATTCTAAATACACAAAACCCACTGAAAAATACGCAAGGTTGAATTTTATTGAACAGATTTCAAAATT